GGGTGACTAGTTGAGTGAGTTGTGCGACCGGTCACTTTGAGGCAGAGCAGCCCTAAGGGACAAAATCAAGAATTTTTGGAGGGAGTGATTCTTGATTCTCTTCCTGTGCAGTTGAAAAATATATATTGTGTTCTTGGAACACAACATCAATGGAGGTATAGACCTTCTGAGTGGTATAGCCCTTTTGAGTAGGAGGATGATAATAACGGTATCCTTTCTGATAGGGATCATAGCCAACGAAAATACACTTTTCAACTCGGGGATCCAATTTGCTTTGTTGGTGATCTTGTTAGTGTACAAATACAGCACAACTGAAAAACCGGGGTTCTAGGTTTGGGGTGGGTGGTATTTGGATATGGTGGTGAAGTGTTTGAAGTGGTGTTTAGAAATTTAAGATACTGGAGGGAAGTCAATTGATAAGGTAAGCTGTAGAGAGGATGGCTTCTCCCCAAAATAACCGAGGCATATTGGCATCAAAGAGAGGCACGAATTACTTCTAGTAGATGTCTGTTTTTTCTTTCAGCCACTCCATTTTATTAGGGAGTATATGGGCATGAGCGTTCATGTATGATGCCATGATCTTGTAAGAACTTGGTAAGATCATGGTTGAGAAATTCTCTGCCATTGTTAGAGCGAAGAACCTGGATTCTCGCATGGAACTGAGTCCACCATTTGATGGAATTGTTGAAACTTGGAACTGACTTCCCTTTTAGTTTTGAGAAGGGAAACCTAGGTCATGCGGGTGCAATCATCTATAAACATGATAAACCATCGAGCTCCTCCTAGAGGTAATTTTAGCAGGGCCCTAAACAGTAGAATGAACAAGAGAATTATTTTAAGGGATTTATTTCCTTGATAAATTAAAGGATTTACTTTCTTATTTTATTTAATTGACATATCATTGTATAATTAGGAGATATTCTCATAATTGATTACTGTATCTATTTCCTTGTAAAACTCTCATCTCTTATATATACCTCCTTATGGAGAAGAATACACAAAACCTAAAGTATTCAAACCATATTCATATTTTAACATGGTATCAGAGTGGATTTGTTGACTGGGCCTGATTAAACCCAAATTTTTTTTAAAAAAAAAAAAAAAAAAAGGTGACCGATGTGGAATTGGTTGCATGTGTAGTCCCACTAAAAAGTGGTCCGAAGTGAGGAGGAGTGTTGAAGAATACATGAGTCCCACATCGGAAACTTAACAAAATAGAAAGTTAAATATAATAGATGGTTCTACTCCTAATAATATCGAGGCTTTTTGTATAAACCATCACACCTGCAAAACAGGTGGTTAAGTTGGGGACAATATTGATGTTGCTAGTGGTGAGCCAATGATCCATCCCTCTGAAATCTTAACATAGTACACACACTACATAGTAAAATTTGATAGGTTATACACCTAATCAGTTGATCTCATCCACAACAAGTGCACACATTGCATAATAAAATTTCATAGTTTGTACCATTTAAATTTCTTAATATATCTTTCAGGTTTTCAACATAGTTTTAAGTTCTATCTAATTCTTTCTATTGAAGAATATAAAGTGACACATCGGAAACTTGACTAATAAAATATAACATATCATGAATGGTTCAATTGCTAATATTATCAAGGCTTTTTGTGATAAAACCTCACACCCATTGGGCTTTGTAGGTGGTTAAGTTGAGTACAATATAGGTGTTGTTAGTAGTTGGTCTTTGACTCGTGTCTTTGAAATTTAACACTTTCAACACTCATCTCTTATTTCTACGTTGTAACTTTTTTAGTTGATTTCCATGGTAGTTTATAATATACAATTATATGACTTCACAAATGTTTAAATTCTCTTTCATTTGACTGCAATTTATCAGGTACGAGTCAAAGTTTATCAAGAAAATAGTTAAAGTGATCGGAGACAAGCTAAGTCGCACACCCTTAAGTATTGGCCCCAACATGATTGGAATGCATTATCGAGTGGAAATGATTAATTTATGGCTACAAGATGGATCAACTGATGTTGGCATACTAGTAATCTATGGGATGGGTGGAATAGGGAAAACAACCATCGCGAAGTTTGCTTATAATTCAAACTTTAAAAGATTTGAAGGAAGCAGCTTCCTTGAAAACATCAAAGAAATTTCACAACAACCCAATGGCTTAGCTCAAATACAAACACAACTTCTTTATGATATTTTGAATGGGAGAAAGGTGAAAATACACAGTGTTAGTGCGGGAATAACTAAGATTGAAGATGCCATAAGCTCTAAAAGGGTTCTTCTTGTTCTCGATGATGTGGATGGCATGGACCAATTAGAAGCAGTAGTTCGGATGAAAGATCGATTTTATCCGGGAAGTAAAATCATCATAACAACTAGGCGTGCAAGATTGTTAAAGTCTCATCAAGTCATTAAGGTGCCCGTTGAAACTTTGCATTACAATGAATCATTGGAGCTCTTCAGTTGGCACGCTTTTGGCCAGGACCATCCCATTGAAGGTTACATAGAATATTCAGAAAAAGTAGTGGATCATTGCGGGGGACTTCCATTAGCTCTTAAAGTTTTAGGTTCTTCTCTTTTGGGAGAAAATATAGATGTATGGAAAAGTGCATTGGGTAAGTTAGAAGCTTTTCCAAATGGTGAAATAATAAATAAACTAAGAGTAAGCTATGACTCTTTGCAAGATGACCATGACCAAAAGTTATTCCTTCACATTGCTTGTTTCTTTATCGGAAGGGAGAAAGATTACATTGTTAAAATACTAGACGGATGTGGTTTCTACACAATTGTTGGACTTCAAAATCTCATTGATAGATGTTTGGTTACAATCGATGAATGTGAGAAGGTGTGGATGCATGACATGATTCGTGCAATGGGAAGAGAAATCGTTCGCTTAGAATCAGAGAAGCCTTGGAAGCGTAGTAGGGTATGGCAACATAAGGATTCTTTCAATATCTTGACAGAAAAGAATGTAAGAAACATGTCTTATCTGCGAACATATATATGCTTTTCTTCTTGTAAATATGTTCCAAATGTATTTCCCTTTACTTTTGTAGGGCACAGAAGCAATTGAAGGTCTTGTCCTCGACATGCATATGCTCCCTACAAACAGTCTCATAAACTCAAATGAGATATTCTTGCAAACCAATGCATTTGCAAGGATGCACGATCTAAAACTACTCCATCTTAGTCATGTACAACTCAGCGGATGTTATGCAGAATTTTGTATGGGATTAAGATGGTTGTGTTGGCATCAATTTCCTTCGGATTCTATACCCACCAATTTTCCTTTGAGGAACCTGATTGTTCTTGAAATGCAATATAGCGGCTTAAGACAAGTCTTTGAAGGAACAAAAGTATGTTACTCTACGCTTTTCAATTCATTTCATTTTGATTAGGCTTTTAGTTTGATAACAGATTATATACATGTTTTCCCCCAGTGTCTTCCCTCATTGAAGATCCTTGATCTCAGCCATTCTCATTCACTTACAACCATTGACTTCTCATTTTGCACAAATCTAGAGAAATTGATTCTTGTAGATTGTGAAATCCTGGTTGATGTCAATGAATCCATTGGAAACCTTGAGAGACTTGTTTACTTGAGTATGAAGGATTGCAAAAATCTTAAGATGCTTCCAGAGAACATATGCATGCTAAAATCACTTGAAACACTTATTATATCTGGTTGCACATGTCTTAATGAGTTCTTAATTGAGATACTGAGGGAGATGGAATCTCTGAAAGTGCTTGAGACAGAAGGAATTCCAATAACTCAATTATGGCGAGGAAGAAGTTCATGTATCTTGAGTTCCTTACCATGCTCTTTAGTAGATTTAAGTGTTTGGGGTTGCAATCTTTCAGATGATGCCTTTCCTTGGGATTTCAATAATCTATCCTCATTGCGAAGACTAAACCTAGGGAATAATCCAATTTGTAGCCTACCAAATTGCGTCCAAGGTTTAACAAGGCTCTATAAACTCTCTTTTTCCAAGTGTACAAGGCTCAAATCGCTAGTGGGGTTACCAAAAGTAGATGTCTTGGATATCGAAGATTGCATATCATTGGAAAAAATAACATATCAGTCCAGTCCGGGATATCAAACCAGTTGGTGGGGTGGCAATCACAACCTAGTTGAGTGGGAGTATGACTACAAGTTAGAACCCATTGGAAGAGTTGATGTAGAAATGATCAACCTTCTGGGCTTGTGCAATTTGGAATCCATGGCACCCATTCGGATGCACAAACCAAGTTGGATTTCAGAGAAGGACGATTGGAGTCCTGTGCAGGTGCGCGTCTCTCTCTCTCTCTCTCTCTCTCTCTCTCTCATATATATGATCATCCGAAAGAGTTGACTAATATTGTCATTTCCATTGCACATATATAGGGACTGTACGAAGCTGGTATATTCAGCACATTTTTGGCTGGGAATGACGTTCCCGGCCGATTCAGCCATAAAAGTAGACGGTCCTCAATATCTTTTACTGTGCCTTTACTTGATCATCAGATAATTCAAGGCTTGATCATCTTTGCTGTCTATGCGAGTTCTGGCTCTGATTTTCCTTACAACCCTCTTACTCGTTTTCAAGGTTTTCATGGCCATATGATTACTAGAGTGAGAAATAAGAGTAAGGGTCTGAACTGGTACTATATGCCATCACACTACGGTATTCCAGGTGAAGGAGAAGACATGATATGGTTAAGCCTCTGGAATTTTCAGGATGAGCACTTAGAAGGTGGCGATCAAGTGGTTGTTTCAGTATGTATGCAACCTTGCTTTCAGGTAAAGGAGTTGGGGATCCAGCTTGTGCTGGTGGAACAAGTGAGTCATAATATGATGAGTACCACCGCTCATCCTTGTTATCCATGGGACATCGGATTCATAGGTCAACTACTTCCAAATTACTTGTTCAATGATGAAGATACAAGAGGTGTGTTGTTTATTGCCGCATTTGATGATTTTACTCCAACTATTTCCAAAATAAAATAAATTTTAAAAAAAGACCCCTAATAAATTAAATTTGCATCACAATCTATGTTCTTAGGATAGGATCATCATCTACGGTGTTCCCAAGTCAGCTCATATTTCATTTCAAAAATATGTTCCCTCTCATTTAAATTGGGATTTTCTGTTATTTTGTATGTTTTTCAGACAATGAAGAAGAGCCACTGGATGATCGCGCAATTGGAGCCATCACAGGCAGCCATCACAATCTATGTTGTTGGGATTTTCTGTTATTCTGTTATTCTGTTATCACTCGTCTTTGCCAATAATTGGGATAAACAAATAGTGGAAAATCAGAATCATTAAATAATGCAATTTGATTGCATTTGTTGTGTTTTTAACTACACGAACTCTTAAAGATTGGTATAACCATATGAAGTATGAAATAGTTTTACCAGAAGATGCAGGGTCAATTGTCTCAAAAAATTCTTTCAGTAATTACTGGTACAACTCCAAGTCGTCAAAAAGTTCAAGGTCGCCATCAGCTTGTGCACCAGCATCACATTGTGTCTCCTATCAGAGTAAAGGAATAAAACTAATCAAGTTGTGCAAATAGTGTTGGAGACTGAATGAAATTCAAGGATATTTGTCTGGTAGAAAGAAGAAATAGTGAAGTTTTATAAGTATGGAAGTCACATACCTAGTGAATGGAAGTTGGGTCAAGTGGAAGTCAATTGGGTTTCAAATTCAATTTGGGCAATGGGGTCTTGGGGAACTTTGTCTTGAGTCTTGGGCTTCAACCCTAAACCCTTGGGCCTTGGAGCACTTCGCCTTTAGTTTTGAATAATTTTTTTTTTATTAATTCGGATTATTTAATTAACTGTTTTTTGAATTAATATTTTTTTATTAATTCGAATTATTTATTAACTGTTTTTAAACAGTTGTGACTCTTCTTATAAGGTTTTAGAAGTTTATTTAAATCAAACAAACCTTCATTTGTCAAACATAGAAAAAACATTCTACAAGCACATTCATCTTGTTTGAGAGGAAAACAATCAAAGTTCGTTAGATTCTAAGTCCTAGAATACAGATAGTTAAATCCTGGGATGCATTCACCTATCTGCACGCACCAAGAAGGGGTGAAATTACTGTGTTTAGGACATTACATCAAATCTGCAAGTCTCTATCTCGAATTCAAGTCAGTTCATTTATTTATTATTTACTATATTTCAAATTATAATTTGTTATAAATTTGTTATAAATTTAATTTCGTTGGTTTTGATATATTGTTGATATATACATATAATAGTTTTTATTAGTCACTGATTGTTGTTTATCCAACAAATAGAAACATAACTTTCATGACATATCAAGGAGGAAATTTTAAGCAAACCTCACAAGCACATCAAAGTGGCAAATAAATCAACTGCTGATCTCCTCATCTGCATCTGCTTGTCGAATATCTGGTAAAGCATGGGTATAAGTCCACTCGTAGGTCGGGGCTTGATTACAAGTTCAATCATAGGGTCAAAACCTGATTAAAAGCATGCAGCTTGCTTTTAATAGCGGCAGCACTTGTGGACACTTGTGTCTTCCTCTGTCATTTACCTTGAAGGCTGTAATCAAAATCACAAAGTGTCTAATTTTTGTTATAGACAACTATTTTTTCATAGCAACAGGACTACTCTGAATTTCACAGCTAATAGGCTCTAAAACCATCAGCTACTTGGGGCTGACTTGAACTCGATCAGAACCAGGCATGGATCTAGACCTGGCTAGGTAGGGCTATAGCCCGAGACAAGTTTTGAGAAAAATTGAACACCTAATTTTTTTAAAAAAAATATTTAATATTTAATATAATTAATTTATATCTAAAAGTTAGAAGAGAGAGAGAGAGATGCTAATCAAATATAGGTTATAGTTAGTTAGATGCTCATATGTTTTTATTATTTCACATATAGGTTATAGTTTATAATGTCTAATCAAAATCCAAAGCCAAGAAAGGTACCACTTAAGTAGTTTTAGATTGTATTTGTATCTCATGCATATGTGAGGTATTGTTTAACATGTTATACAATTTGGGAAATGTTGCAAAAACAAAGTAAACTTTATCAAAATTTAAATATGAATTTTTGATTGGAAAGTTAGACCTAAAAATTAGCCCGAGTCATTTTTAAATTCTGGATTCGTGCCTGATTCAGAACTCAATGCAAAACTTCAGTTGATCCAAAGCTGAAGGCCAAGGATTTGGATTTGGAAATTGAGCTAGTTCAAGCTCAATGCTTTATGTTTTGGACTGAGCTAGGGAAAGGCCTGAGCTCACTCCCTTCCTCTCAGTGGACACCCTGACACCCTCAGTAGTAGTGAATAATTATTGCAGGGGAAGTTCTCCAATTTGGGGAACCCCATAATCATATAAAAGGGAGGAGACTTGAAGCATTTCCTTAAATTCGATTTGATAAGATCTTAGCTAATTGTATGTTTATAAGTTAAACACTCTTTGCGAGGACCAAAATGGCTATTAAAAAATGCAAACACAGAAAACAGAATACACCAAGTGTGGGAACATGAATTTTGGTAACCAATCACAAGGTGACACATGGAAGAGGAAATATTTCTTACGTCAATTAATTGCTCTAATTAAATACTATTTAATTGGGCAATTATTTTTGATTTAAGATGACATGACCCGCCCCGAATTCCTCGGAACCCGAGACGAATCCTGTGGGAATTTTTCGACATCACACCGATGCCGGGCCCAATTACTAAGAACCGAGACTTTCTGCCGAAATTTCGGCAGAGTCTCCCTTGTAAATTTGACTTTCCCCAAAATTTGAACCTGAAAAATTTAAACACAATTTATAACCCAACTGGCAGCATGCACAAGTTATCAACATGCAAATACAAAATAGGACTCCGGCCTTCAAATAATTCAAAACAGGACCAGCAATGCTTTTAAGTCGAACAATACATAAACCATACAATTAATGATCTTGAATAACTATACGAATACCCCCAATAATCATTAAACCGGATTCAAATCCATTAACCACATCAAAAATCCAATCACACATTCCGAATCGATCAAACTTTTTGAACGTAATAATATTTCGCGGCTGCACCTGGGTGAGACCTCAGGCTGCCTACGTACCCTTGGACAAGGGATCAAGCCACACGTAGTTCTCATCTCAACCGTCACAATTAGAATAATATAAAATTATTTAAGACAGCAACAAACTATACATTTCAAATCTATCATAATTCCAAATCCGACAAAAACCCATTGAAACATTATCAATTTCTTCCTAAGGCATCGTATTAAGAAGACATCCGAAGGGCCTGGGCAAAATAAATCTCCGAAGGGCTTGGACAAACTCCGACGGGCCTAGGCAAAATAAATCTCCGAAGGGCCTGGACAAACTCCGACGGGCCTGGACAAAATAAATCTGGGCAAAATAAATCTTCGAAGGGCTTGGAAAAACTCCGACGGGCCTGGGCAAAATAAATCTCCGAAGGGCCTGGACAAACTCCGACGGGCCTGGGCAAAATAAATCCGCTAATAACACTCAAATTAACATTCTAAGTACTCCATACAAAATCAACAAAGATAGCACTTTCTTAATTATTGTAAATCTACACTCAAGATATTCAAATGTATTCAAACCCAAATATACAACACAAATACTTCATAATATATCAAATCCATTAATCAAATATATAATATATTTCAAATGAATCATTAAAACAATATGCATAAACTTTCCACATTTGGTCAACTAGGCCCGCGGGGTCCACGACCTCCGTTTTACGATCCGAAAGTTCCTATGGGTTCCACAAGGTCTAGGATACACGTCTTGCAAGTTTGGTTCAGATCGGACGGTTAGATCGCTCGTGATCGCACGATCGGACGGTTATCGAAAAACGCAAACTTTAACTTATTAAATCGGAACATCCGGGGCTCCGATTCCCGATCAGCGAATTCCTACACGATCCTAGGAATATAAGGAACAACATATAAAAACTTGGAAGCGATCCAACGGTTCTAATGTATTGAACCCGGATAACACACGATATGTAAAATCCGTTCGGGTTCAAACGTTATCCGAATTGAGATCCGTAAAATCCTACGCGCTCGTGACAACCAGGAGATCGCATTGAGACAAAATGCCCCTCTGATACCATCCCCACGCGCCGCCACATGCGCTGGCAGCGCGTGGGTGTCCTAAACGATATCGCATTGCCAGAAAATTTCAGAATCTCTGGCCAAGACTCCTACCCTAGGTAATACCCCTAATTTGGAGTCACTTTTGTTCTTGGACATACCCCAAAAAGTCGACGGAAGTGGCCGGAATCGCGATCCCAACACTGGCAGAATTTCAATTCGAAAATCGACTTGCCTACGCTAAAAATTGAAGCAATCCTACCCAAACAGCAGCTAGATCATGAAAAGTAGTTGAAATTCCATACCTCATTCGTCCGATTTGGTGGAGAATTGAGGGAGAACGAGCGATTGGAAAATCTGTCAAAATTGAGGGAGAAGTGAGGGATTTTCTGATTTTTATTAAAATTAAACTTCGAAAATATTACGATTGTGCCACTGGAGGTTTTTACCTCGTATCTCTCTTGTTAAAAGTCCGATTCAAACCCACCGCATGTCTACGGACTCGTCAGTACGACCTTCCTACCACTTGCTGCCCCAAAATCTCTCCGTATAAAAACTGACCCTTTTGCCCCTACCCCGAAGGCAAAATTGGAAATTCTTAATTATTGAAATTAATTAATTCACAAATCCTTTTATTTTGGGTCGGGATGTTACATAAGATAGGGAATCTGCCTGAATTAAGTATAAAGATTTCCACCAAATCTAATTAAATATGGAATTATTCTACAGACCCTAGCAAAGGAGGAGTCTCTATAAATAGATGGCTACACAACATATGAGGTAATTCCAAAATCCTAGAGAATTCTCTCCCAAGCCACTGACTTTTATTAAAATTAAACTTCAAAAATATTACGATTGTGCCACTGGAGGTTTTTACCTCGTATCTCTCTTGTTAAAAGTCCGATTCAAACCCACCGCATGTCTACGGACTCGTCAGTACGACCTTCCTACCACTTGCTGCCCCAAAATCTCTCCGTATAAAAACTGACCCTTTTGCCCCTACCCCGAAGGCAAAATTGGAAATTCTTAATTATTGAAATTAATTAATTCACAAATCCTTTTATTTTGGGTCGGGATGTTACATAAGATAGGGAATCTGCCTGAATTAAGTATAAAGATTTCCACCAAATCTAATTAAATATGGAATTATTCTACAGACCCTAGCAAAGGAGGAGTCTCTATAAATAGATGGCTACACAACATATGAGGTAATTCCAAAATCCTAGAGAATTCTCTCCCAAGCCACTCTCTCTCCTCTCTCCCTCACAGCTCTAGC